AAGGGGAAGTGTCCTCTTTATGTTCGTCTCTTCCTCCGTCAATTAAGGGTAGGCAACGGATCTGCAATTGCGGATGTTTATGGTCAGCGGTCGCTTTCCATTTCGGTAGATTCAGGTGGCCGCTTGCTCGTTTGTCACCTTATGTTATAAAAAAAAAATTAGTAACTTAAAAAGGCGATTTCTTTTACTGTCAAATAGAAATGTCGTTAAGTAGTTAAGATACAGTTGTACAATAAGTTAATAATTTATTTAAATAATACACCGATTTTTATTTTTTGGCAAGTACTCATAAGTCGATATGAAATTTGCAAATCAATTCAGATTCATCTCGAAAAGATTGTTTTATTATGATAGAAAAGGTTCTCATTCTTGACAACTGACGTTGGACCGTCCTTATTTAAAGATCCCTTTCTGTAATCCATATTTTATTTCATCTATACGTTTCCTTTTTTGGCACGATCTACTTTTCTTGCTTTTCAATTTTCACTCTGCTTTCTATTCAATTTTACTAACATAATTGAATTAGAAAGCAAAGTGGAGAAATTGATCCGACCTTGGCCAACCTGCGTGTGCAAACCTAAGATGATAATCCCATATGATGAAAACCCGTCGAGTCTAAAATATCATCGGATAGCATAAAATCAGAAGAACTTAATATTAATTATTAATTTGTAAGATTAGATATCAAAAAATGTTTTGAATATTTTTAGCAGAAACAAAGTAACAGAAATGTGCAATTAATTAAAGTAGTGAATGTTTTTACTTACAACTAACAAACATAAGTTGGAAAAATATAACTGTATTTGTCTTTGAACGAAAATTCCAATTCAAAATATCAATCCACGAAAAAGTTTGTACCGTTTCAAATCTTACTTTAGACGTCATTCACAAAGGAAATGCGCGAATAGGACCAAATAGGAGTCGACGTTCTAAAATACGTTTGTTGAGAAAACATGGGACCATATTCACATTGTATGTCACGCGCGCGCCCAGCTCTTATTGCCAATATTGCTAGCGCGAATATACACGTCCTTTATACCAGATTTTTTGTGAATTGAGTCTACGTTTTGTGTAATAATGTTATAAAGAAAACGTAAACTTCTAATTGCTAGAATTGCCAGTAAAAAAATCAATTTCTCACATTTTATAGATCTTGAACCTGGCTATTGAAAGGAACTAATAAAATTCCTACACATTGAATAACAATATTACTATAGGGAATTACATTTTGTGTAAACATACTAATATTATAAATGTGAAAGTTTAGATGGATGTTTGTTAGAGTTTGTAGCCTAAACGGCTGAAGGGATCATAATGAAATTTGGTATAATCATACAGGATATAGAAGAACACATAGGCTGCTCACTTTTGTATTTTTTAATTCCACGCGGACGGAGTCGCGGGCGTAAGCAAGATATTTTATAAACTGTAAATATACCAGTATGGAAAGTATTAGTACTATGAAGGTGTACGTAGTTTATCAAGTTGTGAGCGCCGGCGGGGGAAATCTGGCCGTCGCTCCCTAACCAAGAGCGAGCCTAATTACTCTCAATGGACGGACCTGTTTAGGGTTTACCGGCAAACATTTGCAGGTGTTTCTGTTCCTTTTAATAAAACTTAAAGATGTATCTTGTTTATGTCAAACTAAATTAATTATTTAAACATTTACAGTCTAAATTAAACGCGTTAGTATATCGTTAAGTTATCATAATATAGTTTGTGGTGTTAACGCGTAAACAAGCTAAAGCCGTTATCAAGATTTCATAATAAACACAAGCCGATAAAATCTCTGGAGAAATCTTCTCGCGTCGTAATTTGATTATGATAAATTGCGTATTTCGAAAGCAAATCAAATTACAGTACCACCTTGTACGGTATAAAATTATAAAGCATTTTGTAGCAGTTGTAATTTTTTTATTATTTTTTATAATTGTAATGGACTCTATGTTTAAATTGATAAATAAGGAAAATCATTTCGCTGTAAAAGACACTCTCTGTTTATCCTATCATGTTCGAAGAGTAAATACAATTTATAAGCAATTTAAAAAGATATTTACACAAAGACAAAATTTATATTAGCGTACAGAGGAGGCGTCAAGGCGATTTGATGCAATTATGTCAACCCAGATGAATATGTCGTTCAGGAAATATTTCTATTTTATTACTGTTTAAAATATACATTTGTGCGAAATTAAAAAAATGCAACTAGAATGTGTTCTTCCAGAGTGTGTTCTACATCTTTGCATAATTTAATCCGTTGAGAAATAATTTCTGACAAACATCCAACCATCTATTTAAATATACTTACTAAAGTAAATTTTGTTTCATAACAAACAGTAACAATGCATACAAGGAAATACATTTAATAATTGTAATTACGTTTCGAATACGTTCTTCAATAAGGACGACGAAAGACGAGGTCGACGAAATGGAAGACGTGGAAACGTAAATTGTATGTCATCGTGAGGTTAACCTGTCTATCTTAATTAATGTAACAGAGTTAATTAAAGCTTAATAATTATTACCAACATCAACGTTAGTAATGCAAATGTTGCTTTATTCGTTATTTAATTTTTTTGTTTAATATTAGAGCGTGCACTTTATTGTGCTAATGTTTAGTCAAAGATGTGACACATAAAAAAAACAATCGACAATCGCACAACTGTTGTGCGATTGTCGATTGTTTTGGCATTTGATTGATTGTCGATTGGATTGGCAGCCAATTTAACTGTTCAGTTGCGGACTAAAAATCGAGTAGTGTGCCCATCTCCATATAAGCTCATAGAAATCAAAGCACGACAAAACACTTCACTTAATATATCTCTCTGCATCCTGTGTAATAAGTATCGTTTATAGTATTGTTTTTCTTTTTAATTTTGCAGTTATCAATTTTTAAAAATTGTTTTATTTAATACTAGCCGTCGCTCATGACTTTGCCAGCGAGTAATTTAAAAAAATAGACTATGATACTCATTAATTAAGTAGCTTTTTAATGATGAAAGAATGTTTAAAATCGGCGCAGTAGTTTTTAAGTTATTTCAGTACATAGAAAGATGTAAATATTTCATCCTTATAATATTAGTATAGAGCTTTATCTATACTCATCTTTATGAGTAGTATTGTAATACATATGTAACGTTTTATGCGTATATAGCATTTGCGAAAAATACGTTGTTCACACTAGTGGCGGTGTCGTCTGAGCATTATAACAGCGTCACACGCGGCTGTAGGGTGCTCTACGGCCGCGCAAGCCCCCTCCAACTCACACGATGTCTGTCCCCGCACAATGAGCTCGATAACGCACGTTACTCTACCTTAGTAGTGTTGGACCGTAATTTCACTACTATTAGTGCTAGTTGAGGTACTTTAAAACTTGTGACGTAAGTTGATTAGAGACCTAATTGTCGTTTACTTCATTCTATAACTTAGTTCTTTATTCTATACAGAATACGTTGATGTCACTTCTTAGTCTATATTAGTAAATTCCGTTCTTATTGTGTATCCCACAGTGTTGTTTGTGACTTATTAAACAGCATATCAATTAAGTCTTTAATACTACACTTAGGGAATTCCTTAGAGATCACTAAACAAAGGCAGCTGCTCTTGCGTGGTTTATTACGAATATTTGTGACAGTTGCGAGAACGTATCTGTGACGTCATCGACAAAGTATGACATTTATCAGTGTGCTTTTTGTCCGGTAGAGGCGCTGCACAAATTTAATACAAGTTTATCGATGAAGGTACGAAATCGTTGTCATGAATATTCGTGAAAGGCATTCGTTATAATGTTTTGTTATCGAAAATAGCTCGCATTTATGATTGAAAAGCACAATACTGTTCGTATATTTATAAATCTAATTAATGTTTGGCAACAAACGAATGAGGCCAGAAAATGGCGCAATATAAAAGTCATTTAAATATCAATTAGTGTGGGCTCGGCCGCCATCGGGCGCTATTAAGATGTCATTATTACAGCCCTTGTAAATTGTTAGCAAATTGAATTAGATTCTGTTTTAAAGAATTCGGAATTACTGATCGTTAGGTTTTTAAAGTTTCCTAGTCTATATTTCTGTGTCAATGAAAATGTAAGTTATTGAATATTAAATGAATTACCTACATATACTAAGAAAAATACAAAACAAATTCGAGTAAGCTTTGTATTAAAGTAACTAAAACTTAAAACTATTTTGAACACACATGAAACTTAGTATTTTGGTTTTGTTTACAGAGTATGTAAAAGATTCTAAATTAGGTTCTTTTCATTTATTTCTACATCTTTTGAATGCAAACGAACTTTTTCAAGAGACTTGGGAGCTTTTTAAAGAGCTGCCTCATCAACATTTTCAAGTGGGCACTAAAGATGGAAATATTCTAAAAAACGGAAATATGTTAAAAGTCAAAGGGATGATGTACGAGAATCTTACTCAGTTATTCGCTGAAATTTTGTTCATACAATCTCGTATGAGTTTCTCTGAATAGAATTAACAAGTTTATAAAATAACTAGCGACCTGCGTGCAGCTAACGTTTCATATTTCTACAAGTATTCATAAAAAAATTAAATTGAACTATTAGAAAACCTTTTAGAAAAATACTTAAATTTTATTTAAACACCTATGTGTTTTACCATTTTTTTTGACAATGAAAACGCAAAATAAGATTATTGCTATACAAAATAAATGAAAGCTTATGAAGTAGTCACAGTAGACAAATTACCTTTTCACTTACATTGTTTACTCGCTCGGAGCTCCTAACTCCAGTAGTTCCCTGTTTAAACTTAGCTCAGTGACGTAACGAAAATCGAGAACAAGCTAATATTTGTCTTAAATAAGGACACACCTTTAATTATTTAATTAAGTCTCAACTGGCTTAAATATTCTTTCTTTATTAATGTAACGTACTAAATGTTTGATTTCTTCATAATCCTTCTTCTTCTTAAAGTGCCATCTTCTTCCGAAGTTCGGTGATCATTAGGGTGACTTTCGATCTTGACTTCGCGGCTCTAAAAAGTGAACGGGTGCTCGTTCCATACCACTGGCGTAAGTTTTTGAGCCAGGACGTTCTTCTTCGACCTACTTCGCTTTCCGTGGATCTTGCCTTGTACGATGAGCTGCAGTAGTTCGTGGCCTAGGAACTGCAGCTTTCTTTTCTTAACTGTATATATCACTTCTGTCTTTTTCTTCATGCGCTCTAACACGGTAAACATAATCATAATAATCATAATTCATAATCCTAATCTCGGTTTAAGAATAATTTAGACAGAAAACACAGTATAACGCGGAGATAACTTGGTTTTAATATAATAATAGCTTGCAAACTTAGGCGGGTATATCCAAAACAAATTTAGTTTAATCTTATTCCGTCATCACATTTGATAAACGAACTCCTGCTTAACTTGGTGTATTTCGGGTGCTCTATAACTCTGTTAGTCTCTTATTTAAGTCGGCTTAAGTAATGTCGGCAAGTCTGCCTTGATAACTTTAATAATTTACCGGATTTTACGAATAACATGAAAATTATACTCTCGTTTTAATTATTTTACTAGCTTTCGCCCGCGGCTCTGTCTGTGTGGTATTAAAAAAAAAAACAAGTAAGTAACCTACGTGTTCTTCCAGACTATACTCTACACATACCTATCTAAATTTCATCAGGATCCGTATAACCGTTTAGGCGAAAAACTCTAACAAACATCCATCGATCGATCGATCGAAACTTTTGCATTTATCGTCCCCACCGAGGGTTTCCGAGCCTACCCTAAAGTAAGGGTGACTAGGCCATAGCCAACCACGCTGACCTACTGCGGGTTGGTTGACTTCACACATATCTTTGAATTTCTTCGCCGATATGTGCAAGTTACATTATGATGTTTTCCTTCACCGTAAGAACGTCAGTTAAATTATATGTACATATGAAAATTCGAAAAAAATCGAAAATCACATTGGAACATGGCGGGATTTGAACCCAAGACCTGTAGATTACAAGTCAAGTGCTTAAACCACTGAGCCACCGACGCTCTATAATATTAGTAATTCGCATTTATAATGTTAGTAAAATAACAGTTGCAAAATCAATCACATTGAAAATGTAAAAATACAAAAAAGTTATCCTATTAAATTTGTTGATCGTTTTATCAGGTTTTTCCGCTAAGCAACAAGGGAAATCGTAGGAAGTTGTGATGTTCGCAAACACACATCATTTCATTATATTCGCTTGAATGAGTTTGTGTTTACTTCGCGAGCAAGAATCTTTGTACAGATACGAAAAAATACAAGACAATTCTTACGTTAGATATTTAAATATTGACGTTAAGTTCCGAAATTCCATCGTTGTAACAATTTTATTACGATTAGTTGTATTTCTTATGTCAATGACAATAAGCGGGACAGTGTTATACTTTTTATTGTTACATTATGTATATGATAATAAACTAGACTACCGGTGTGAAATGCTAAAAAAAAGTTTTTCGTCAAGTGAATTGTATATTCTTAAGAGAGAAAAAAAACAAATAAGGTAACCTATACATAAACATATGACAATTACTTACTTCTTACTAATATTTTAAATGCGATATTTTAGATGGATGGATGTTTGTTAGAGTTTGCTGCCTAAACAGCTGAACGAAACTCTATAAAATTTATCATAGATGTAGAGCATAGTCTGGAAGTGCACATAAGCTACTTTTGTTTTTCTAATTTCACGCGGACGGATTCTTGGTTGAAAGCTAGTAGCTAATATTAAAGCGCACGATTCATTTCTTCATTTTAGTAAAAGCATTTGAAAGGCATCATCATCATCAATTTGCTCTTATCCCTACGGAAGGTCAGCACAGTATGTGCTGCTCTTCCATACATTTCTATTAGGCGTCATATCTGAATTCACTCGCGTCTTAAGCATATTATCTTTCCCACAATCCATCCATACTTTCTTCGGTCTTCCTCTACCTTTGTAGCCACCCACATTCAATCTTAACACTCTCTGGTTATCACTCTCCCAATCCGGTAATAATAACGAAGTAACGGCCCGAGCCGAGGCTCCAGAGAGAGCCCTCGAGCTTAGTTACTCATAAACGAGGTTTAGGCTGAGCGCCGTCCGCGTTCGGCCACCTCAAACCCGGTGGAGCTGTAAATGCCATTCAAGGCAAACAGTGACAAATCAGTGACAAAAAACTCTCTAGTTTAAGTCCCCAGTATGTATGGTGATTTGGTAAAAGTATTTGAAAGTATAACTTACATTTCACGAGTGTATTCAAAAATTATGAGTTTCAGAATATTCATTGCATCGCGCGCGTAATGTAGGCGGAGTAAGTTGAATACGTCTTCATTTAATATTTATGAATGCACTCCAGTTAACTTAGTGTACTATGTATTACTTGATGAATAAAATACACACGATACTTGCTATGCACTCATAATATTTCATATTATGCTAAAAGTTTTTGTATAAAGGGAGAACTTTGCAATTTATTTAACTTCACTTCTTTCATCATATTTGGTGCAGATTTAGTTTACATTATAATTATTGAAATAGATACCACGATGTCACATAATTATAATAATTTATTTATATTTGCATACATTAGGATAAGTTATAATTTATTTAGCTATAATAAATCAAATTATTAAAGTCTTTATTCAATAAATTCTATTTGAAATATGATACTACAAACTAATCCAATTTTAAATTGAAATCAGTCGGTCCCTAAGGCCGGGAACCTCTATACTGTAATTAGGCTTGTTTCTGTTTACCGATGTATAGGTTGTATACATTTGAATCGCCGCTCGTCAAACTAAATGAATCCTATTCAACCATATTAATTAAAACTATCTGTGTCAAGTTAGCTTTAAACCTATCTTACTTCATACTAATACTAACTTACTTATGGATGGATGTTTGTTAGAGTTTACAGCCTGAATCGCTGAAGGGATTTCGATGAAATTTGGCATAGATGTAGAACAAATCCTGGAAGAAACATAGTCTACTTACAATATTTCTTTAATTCCGCAAAGACGGAGTCGCGGGCGAAAGCTAGTACTGTTATGTTTAACCAATTTTATTTGAATTCCTATAAGTAGTAAATAGTTTAGTCATTAGTGTAGGATAATATATTCCAAGTTTCAGGAGTTAACAATGTAAAGAGTGAAGGCAATTAAAAGTGACAAAATATTTTGATTTTTCAAAATAAAAAACATCAGGGGTTCAGCAATGCACACGTAAGAAAATAGCATTGCATACGAATATAAAAGTCTACGTACTAAAATATTCATCCGATTCTATCAGATTTCGTTCCGCCGGAATCTCGAATAGAATTCTGTTTTGCTAAAAAAGAAATCATTTTTATTTTTCCAAAATAAAACTCCCCAATTAAAACAGATTGCATATTGCTTTTGCCTAACTCAGGAATCCCAGTAGAGCCAATCTATTAACCTCGAAACGACGGGAGGGTTTTCTGCAAACTTTGTAATCAAATTCAGCAATTTTCAGGTCCGGTAATTTATTCAATTGAAACTAGTCTAAAATATTTATTCTAATGTTACTGTAAAACTGAGATTTCATCTCTTTCTAATAATTTCTCAATTTCTACCATTGATTTCAAATATTTACATTTTCCCAGAGAATTTTGATAGTTTTGTTTTTTAATTCAGTTTTTATATTATATTACAGTAATTTATTTAATGACATGTTTATCTTCAATATAATTAAAACTATTTCCCAATCGAGCACTTAATTAAAAAGTAAACACCATAAATTTCAATTAACTGCACCATAAATTGTTCTAATAATTCCACCCAAAACGACTTCCAATTAAGTTCAACTAATTTGCAACAACTACGCACACTAGCTTCATTAAAAGCTATTAAAACGCTATTCGCAAAGTGCATATAATTAAATTGTACATGAATAAAAGTTAGTACATTATTTAATATAAGTTTATTTTTTAATTTAGCGGAAAAACTAACTTTCATTAAAACTGACGTTACTATTAATATTTTATCCAAAAAAAAAAACTAGAAGTCCGTGTATGTAAAGAAGATAATTCTAGAATCTCCTAGATCTTTTAGACTTTGATTACTGAACATTAAATTAGGATGCTAATCACACATCACTGCCTTAAAGCAACACATGAACTAGCACTAAAATATTCTAAAAGCCTTTACGTTATTTCACAGGAGAGGTTTTGTTTTGGCCACCATCCAAATACTTGTTAGAAAATTCGTTTAAAACTGGTTTTAAACCAGTTATATCCAGGTTCCTACGAATTTCAAGGATTTCTATATACGAGTATTTCTAAAGCAAACAGATAAATATTACATTGTATTTTTATATTTGGTAGATATGTACGTTAAGAACGACCTAAGATGTTAATTTGTTGTTAAAACATATAGTTCAAAATACAGGTATACCTTTTTGTATACGAGTACTTAGGGCCTGTCCCACTAAATTGTAAATTGTCTGATAAAAATCCAAGGTGTATATGTGTGTAATATGTAATGGAAATATCAGATTTTGTTCCCTTATCTGACAGAGTCGTCTTTTTTAAGCTACCTGAGCCTCTAGCAGACAGTGGTGGGTCAGGCCCTTAATTTCATGTTATTAAATTAGCAATTTTTCTATAATTGTAATTCAGTATTTTTTATAAAGAATAATAATTATCTTTCAAACTTATATAAACTAAGACAAGAATAAAACTACGAGTATTTTACTGGATGCAGAATTGGCTGATGTAATACAACGGGTTTTATAAAGTTGCCTGAGAAAACCGGAGAGTTTCAAAACAAATCTTTGCCACTCACGTCTAGTTTGTAGAGAGGTCGATCTCGATACCAATGGACATTTATATCGCTACGTAAAAATAATTCTACTATCGATTTGATTTTATCAAGTTTATATCCAACTTGCGAATCACCATTTTTCATATGGTCGACCTTAATCAGAATTTCACTTACGTCCCGTGTTCGCACTGTTTCATTTTTTTTTATGTATTTTTGCCTCATCATCCACTTGCCCTTATCCCTTATGGAGGGTCGGCACAGTATGTGCTGCTCTTCCATACATCTCTATCAGCCGTCATATCTGAATCCACTCCTTTCTTAAGCATATCTTCCTTCACACAATCCATCCATACTTTCTTCGGTCTTCCTCTTCCTTTGTAGCCATCCACATTCAATCTCAACACTTTCTGGTTTATGTCC